TTTTCTGCTCGTTCAATATTCCTCTCAAGTTGGCCCGCCATGACCAGTGGTTAGGGCGCTCGACTCGCAACCTGAGGGTTGTGGTTTCCAATCCCCGTACCCCAAAGTATACTCGCTCTTTCAGCCGTGGGGACGTTATATGTGACAGTCAATCCCACTATTCAATGGTAAGGGTAGCCCAAGAGCTGGCGGTGGGAGGTGATGACTAGCTGCCTTCCCTCTAGTTTTGCACTGCTAAATTAGGGACTGCTAGCACAGATAGCCCTCGTGTAGCCTTTGCTCGAAATTCAAACCAAACCAAGCCTCTCAAGTCCTTCACCACTGCAGTTTTAACTTTACTGTATACTTTTGTTCATGGAAAGAAACGTAACGCTTCTTTATATTTGTTTGTATACAACCACCGTCTATAAACGTATTAAGTACTGTGATTTAATTTTATCATTTTATGTTCAGCAAAATTTGGTTTCCCAACGTTCTTGAAACTTGCTATTTTTGTTGTCTGTTTTTTAGGCGCGCTGATTTTGCAACTATGTATTTAATAATTCAAAGATACAGCTACTTTCAATCATACTGAACACAACAAATAACGGGTAACGGTAAACTAACTTTGAAGGAGTGGCAGGAATCATTACATTAGCAATGTCACGTAGGCCTAATATAGTGAGAACTGCTCGAAATGACATTTTAAGCATCTTTTTACTATTAAAATGTTATTCTCGTAATAATAATAATAATAATAATAATATATTTTTACAAATGGAATTACATGTACTCTTGTGTTTTACTATAATACATTTTACAATGGGGAGGGGGCATTGAACAAAAACAACGCTCGTCGGTAGTTGTAGAACAAGACATTTCTCAAGTGGTGGGCCGCATCCAGTCCGCGAATTTTTTTATTTTTTTTTTTTCAAATAAATTGTACGGTTTAGTGGGTTGTGATTAAATGTCAAGAGTGTTACGTCTATTTTTTAACACCACATTCCTTATTCAGTTCCTTAAATTTTAAAGAGTTGTATATAACAGTATTTCAACAATACTATGTCCGCCAAATCCATTGCTTACGATGCGTTTTGCCAAATACAGAGCTCATCAAACTGACTGGGATACAACCAACACAGTGAGGTCGGAATAGTTTAGTGGGAACTTTCGTAAACCAATAGTGGTTTGTGTTTTATAAACAAGAACGATTTTCACAAAAACTAAGCCCCCCTTCCCCATTCGTGTCAACGGCAATCTTACGAACTTGCAACGTTTAAATCCAGGGTTCGATTCCCCGTGGTGGACGGAGCGCACAGTCTAGTGTAGTTTTGCGCAAATACAAACAAATATAATTAAAATTTGTGTTACTATACGCAAGTATAATTAATTATAATCATGCTTCGTCAGCTTAGAAAAGGCGTTCATACCCTAACAATTATGTAGAAGTTATATTTTGTATGAACGTAATTTCAGGTTAAACTAAGGAAGGACTCAACGGCGTATGAAGTTCCTACTGACATCGTGAAATGGCCAGTTATTTCTAGTTAATTAGTTTTTGTTTTTAAGTAGAACAAACTTCCACGGGTAGTTAACCACTGGAACTAGCAATGATTTGTTGTTAATGGTCTAACAGTTCACTTGAGTTGCACAACTTTGGTTCTTTTTTATTCCCCCCCCCCAACACTAATAGGCGTACCTTTTTAAAATATCAGCCCACGTTTAATGTTAAATATTCGAGTGTGCCAGGCTCTTCTTCAAGTTGCCCGTGGTCTTGGCACGTTCCTGACTCACTGTCATGCTAATTTTAGAGAAACATTTTCGCTAATTCCTTTTTTGGCGCGGCACGTCTCAAGACAGCTGTTAAGAAGAAAAACTGAAATGGAACGAATATTTTTAGAATGTATATATAGTTTACTGTTGTTTTTCAACAATTACAAATAGTAGATCCTGCGGCATGTACGACTTTCCCCTTGAAACGAGAACCTAATATAATATTTCTTTAATCGCTAATGAACGGAAAATTACATTTCGACCGTATCTTCGAATTAATAGCCATGCAACGTTTCTTCTCTTCTCTTAGGTCATCCTCAGTCAGAAAACCAAAAGGACATAATAGAAAATGCAAGATCAAAATAATGTTTTTGCTACACACGATTAGAACAAAGTTAACGAACAATACTATTCAATATCATTGATTATCTAGAAACGGTATCAAATGGAGGAGAGAAATTAAAAGTGAAGTATTTTAATTCAAGTAAACATACATTCTGTTTATAAAGTTGTTAATTGTAAGATCCTTACTTAAAAAAAATTAAGTGTGACAGAAGACTTGTGTTTAAAACGGGGAATATTTGCTTTATGGATACTCTTTAACAGTTCATGGTCGAAATTATCGTTACAAAAAATGGTGAATTGTGAGTTAGTTATTAGATGTAGAGTTTCGTGTCTGTGATTTCGGATCGCTGGATTGGTGTTATCTGGCGTAAGTGATATTCCGATGTGCTGATGAATGTGAACAGAAAATTTAGTTTTTTCCAATAAACACGCGTGTGGCGACTGCAAGTCCTCCAAAACAAGGTGTGTTTGAATCTAAAGTACAGTTTGAAAATGATGTTAAAGTTTGGCTTACGAGTAGAACTTTTCCTTTTAAAGACTAAGCTGGTTAGGAAGTGTGGTACTTTGATATCCTAGGTAGGGGATGGTTAATGACACTGTGCAGTCATTAACAAAAAAAAAAAAAAAGTTTGTTTGTGGTTGTATGGAAACATCTTGACATTATATTGACTGTGGCTGTCACGTGAATTGCCGATTTGTATATTCAGAATCTCTAATACAACTTACTCAACCCTCTGTATTGGGCCAACAATATCAAATAGTCTTCGTATTTAAAATATGAACCGTATTTTTCGGAATATAAGACGCACCCTTAATTTGAAGACAAAATTTTTGGGGGGAAAAAGCTACAGTCGCATTTGAAAGATTTTTATTGAACAAAAATTCAACTTGATACTTTAACATCAAAATAAAAAAATACCGTAAATCAAAAAATTTTTACTGTTATTTAGTTAGGTTCAAAACCTACAAAATATTCATTGCTTTCACTGTAATTTATT